GCTCAGACAATTCCCTGGACTCAGTAACCAGCTGGTCTTTCATGTCAGCCCATTCCTCATCAACCTCACCTCTCTGAATCTGCCCCTCTCCTTAGCTCATAAACCATTTGTCTCTCCTTCTCTTCCATCTCGCTATCCTGTACTCTTTCACCATAATGGTGACCAGATGATCAGCACCAGGGTGCTTAGTAGGGGTCACAGATAGCATTTCATTGAGTACTATTCATCCCAGCTATAAGGGATGGCATGGGGCTGTTGTCTTTCCACTCTCCCATGCTGGGGCCTAGAGACCATGGGCAGTATTTGGTAAGATGGTACCTGATCACCTGTTGCCAGAGGCACCAGGCAAGCTCCTAGTTAATTGTAACCCCACTCCCTGCAGACTCAAAAGTCTGGGGGCATCATCATGTCCATTGCAGATTCAGGCCCAGGTTCATTCTCAACACTGTTTAAAAGTAGAAAGTTCAAGGTCTTATCTGAGACTCACATCAATATCTTAACTGTAACCCCCTATAACATCGAAAAAAATCAGATCACTCATTTCCAACATAAAACAACACAAAATGTCCATTACCAGTCTAAAAGGGGGAAAGCAGCATAGTGGGGCTATGGTGGACCAAAGTAAGACATAAAACTAGGAAGGCATACTCCCTACTCTGCTTTCCATGTATAATATTAAAGCACTCTTCAGGTCTTCAATTCCTTTCAGCTTTGTTGAATGTAGCCCACTCCACTCTCTTGGGCTGGTTCCATTCCTGTTAGTAGTTTTCCTCTACTTATATCTCGTCACTCTGACATCTCCAGTAACTTGGGGTCTCCAAGGCAATCCAGGCTTCAACTTTACAACTTCATATAATGACATCTCCAGGTGTCCATTCAGGGTTGCCCTTGACACATGCCTTAGTCACAGGAGAATATTCCATAATCCCTTTCTTCTATTCTTAAAATCATAACCATGTGACTGATGCTCCATAACCTGCTGCTTACTGGAATGGTGCATGGATTCCTCTTTCAATTACATTTTCATCAGATTTTTTTTCAAAAGCAAGAGGGTTTATTGAACGAATGTGCATTCGGGTGTCAGCAATATCGGGGAAGCTGTACACCCCAGCATGGGGTGCAAGCTCCTTATATAGGAAGAAAAAATGAAGATCAGCATACAGGCAAGGGGCACAAAGTGATTGATTACAAAGTATGATCTCATGTTTGAGTGGTCATCTGCTTTTCTACAAAGGAAAAACCACAGAACATGCCCTGAAAAGTCCTTGATTGTCTGTTGGTCAGCCTGGTATGACCCAAAGAGGGTTTTTTTGGTGATTGCCCCCATCTACACCATAGGATGTTCCCAGGGTTGGGGCCAACTTCCTTGTAATGGGCCCAGGCCTATGGGAAACTTTTTCTCTCAGCAAACTAAAATCTTTCATTCCCCATTTTTTGTGTGAGGTTTTAATCCTAAAACCTATGGTCCTTCTTGTTACCTGAGAGCCTGATATTGCTGATTAAGAACTAGGGGGAGATTAGGGTAGTGAGTCAAGGGGAGCTGTTAAACCATCCTTTAATCCAGACTTGTTGGGACTCCCGTTTCTTTTGCCGCTGGTTGAGTCTTTCTCTGAGCTTGGCCATGGAATCCCTAATAACTCCAGAATGGTTAACATAGAAACAGCACTCCTCTTTTAGGGCAGCATAGAGTCTGCCTTCCTTAAGGAAAAGGAGATCAAGTCCCCTACAATTCTGGAGGGCAACTTCCGCTAGAGAAGCCAAAGACTTTTGTAATTTAGTGATGGATTCTTTTATGGCTTTAATATCCTCATTTATGGCTGTTTTTAGCTCATTATAGTGGTGGGGTCCCTGGACTAGTTGGTTCTGGTGCCGACGATGGCCATCATCTCTGCATCCCCATCAGGGAGTGAGAGATATTGGCATTTCCCAATGTAAGGGAGTTCCTTTTGACTTAGCATTTTAACCAGGGAAAAATGGGTGACGTACTTTTTTATGCTACTTCCTGTTGACTTTGGGACAAAGTTAGGGACCCAAGAAAGCTGAAATGCTAGTCAAAAGCAAAAAAGGGAATTTCAGCAATGGGGAATCCATCAGGAGCTTCTGGTTGGCAGACTCTATTGAAGAGATAGAGGGTGTCCATATCAGCTGAACTGGTTCACATCCATAGCAAGTCTAGGGCACACAGTCTTTAGGAGCAGGCTATAGTCATCAACTGATATTTGTCTGCCAGACAGATTTATTTTTTTGAAAGCTTTCTTTCACTGCCTAAGCTTGGCTGTCCTGAAACTGGATCTGTAGACCAGGCTGGCCTCATACTCAGAGGTCTTTCAATTACATCTTTACCAGATTCCTAATTTTGATGGTTACCTTCATTGCCGGAGCTTGGGTGTTCTGAAACTTGCTTGGTAAACCATGCTGACCTCAAAAGATCCACTAGCCTCTGCCTTCTGAATGCTGGGATTAAAGGTGTACACCACCACACTAAACTCTTAGCTTTTCTTTAATTCCTTTTTTCACAAGTAGGAAATTTAGCTGGGTGGAATCTTGTCCTGAAGCCACCACTCCTTTTATGAAATTTCTTAATCTGTTCATCATTTAAACACAGGGTTTATGTCCATTCCACTTCCTGGTGCTCCTTCTCTCCTCAAATTTTACGTGCTCTATTTTTCCTTTCTCAGCTTGCTCTTTTTCATTATAAACCTTTATTTGACTTAACAGTAAGTAATAAATACACAAGAGAGCCTATACTTGGCTGTTTTGAGATTTTCTCTGCCAAAAGAACTAACTGAAAACTCTTCACTTTAGCCTTAGGAAAATTCTTCAGAGAAGGGAAAAAAGCATCCACATTCTTCACCAAAATATAACAAGAATGACCTCTAGGCCACATAATATTCTTCTCCTTGGAAACTTCTTGAGTCAGGCCCCCACAGTTCACCAAACCATACTTAGCATCACTGTCTTCCATATTCCTACTAGTATGGTCCACTAAACACCACTTAAAGAGTTCAACTGCTTTTCTAGTCCACAGTCCCAATGTCCATATCCCTTCAAACAAATTCATGATCAGGCCTATCACAGCAATATTGCATACCCTGTTACTAACTCTGACTTAGGATTGCTATTGCAACTCTTGTAAACGAAATCATCTAATTGGTGTGGCTTACTCTTCAGGGGTTTAGTTCAGTGTCATCTTGGTGGAACTTGGCTATGTGCAGGCACACATGGTGCTCATGGCGGACCTGAGAGTACTATATCTTGACCTAAAGGTAACAGGACTTGAATCCAGGTACTGGGTGAGGATTGAGCTTATATGCAACCTCAAAGCCTATCTCCACGGTAAAACACTTTCTCCAACAAGGTCATACCTACTGCAGCAAAGCCACACTTCCTAATAGTGCCACTCCCTATGAGCTTTTGGGGTCCAATTACATTCAAACTACCACATTTACAAAGCCAGAGAAACTGGCATCACTCACTGTCTTGACTCATGCACAAATTAGCCAGCGTAATATACAAGTTCCTAAATTATCATGGGTTTGATTTTTGCTATAGATGGCTTAGAAGTTTAGAGATGTATCATGAACTGCCTTCTTCAGGTTCTGGTTTATTTGCTAACAAAAATCAAATGCTGAACAAAGGGATCCTCAAATATTAAAATAACAGAAAAGGGGAATATGTAGCTCCCTTTGAACCATTGCTATAACATTGGAAAATCCGATTTGAAAAACAAAAATATCATGAACATTGAACTTCTCTCACAGGACCCTGGATAGCTATGGATATCTGAAAATACACAGTTACTATTCCTCTGACCTAAAACTTCCTGATGTCATCTCTGTGTCCTCCTCTCTCTGTCCTCACTTAACAAATAGTTTGCTTCATTCTGAGAAAATGTCTCTGGACAACTTTCTTCTTATACATAAAAATTTTGAAAACAAACTAGCATTATTTATAAACATTTCACCAGTCTAAAACAATGTGTGCAAAATAAAAAATAAAATTTGGAAAACTGCATTGCTAGGAAAGCATAAATTCAGATTATTGGGAAGTTAAAAAAAAAAAAAGAAGGAAAAAACAGTCAGCAAGCACCGTGGTAATTCTGAAAGTTTCCTCATTAGAACTTGAGAGGCAGGCACTCTTGCCTCTCAGGCCTGAGGCTGGGAGGGTATAACTTTTTTTTATTATTACATAAAATAGTTTCTGGAGGAAAAATACACACTTGATACATAGCCCTTGTGGTTATCCTTGAAGCACAATAGGAAGGCAGTCAAGACACTCAGAAGAATACATTTGAGTGAACTGAATGACTTTAAAGGAAATCAGGAAATGACCTCCAGAGAAGTAATCTTCATATAGATATTTATATTTTAATATTGCTGGAAATTTTGCAGGAAAGTAAAAGGGCTGGTTTGGGCTCAGATTCAGTCTCTGGTGGAGAGACTTCCTCCACAAATACTTGGTTTTTTATAAATTCTGTCTTGGGACGAGTTCCTTTATGGTTGTTTTTATCAGTTTTCTCACTCCAGAGAGTATGCTCCATGCTTTGTGAGTGGACAAAACTAGCCAGCCCTGTCCTGGAGAAGCTTATGTTCTGCTTCCATCGAGTTCAAGCTCTTTCCCATCTATAAGGACACATTTCATTTCATTACTGAAAAGACACATGATAAATACACACACACAAAAAAACCAATTACAACCAAGAATATTTTTAATTACATTTCTATGCTGAGGATCACTTAGAAATGAAAATTCACTAATTGTTTTGAAAATAATTAAAAAAACAAAGTATCATACCTAGTGTTCTTTCCTTAATGGTTATGATATGATATATATTAGTGTATAATCCAGGAAGCAGAATGTATCTGGACTCCACAAATATATGAAATACACACTCAAGAAAACATTGTAAATAATTCTGGAAATGCACTTACACAATGAGCTAAGTTAAAATTGTCCTACTAACTAGCACCAGTGTCACCTGAGATTTCATGAAGTGATATTTGCATATTCTAGTTTCTCAAGTAATACAATTTGAGAATAACACTAAATTATTTTAATGCAGCATGTGTGTGCTAAAGTAGAGAAACAACATCTTCCTACTATATATTGATTGTTTCTTCTGTAGAAGACACTGTGTTGATAATGTGCTGATATTGTATAGCTTACATTTCATTTCTCTTGATTGAATATAGGAATTGCCCATTCCACAATCAGGAAAATGGGTTTCAGAGAACTGAAGTGACTTGATTAAGATAAAGACATTTTCTGGAGAAAGAAACTAAATTGTGTGGCTCTGACACACATCTGCACAGTGCTGCTGGTCATTGCCTAAGAGTGTCACTCATAGAGAAGACTAGAAAGATGACTTCTGACACATTTCTGTAGTGTTGACTCTCATCACCTAAGAGCGTCATTCATAGACACTAGGAAGATAACTTAGGATACTGATAATGTGCTTGCAGTTGGTAGGTTAATACTCAGTGTATCAACCATGGTGTAAATCCTTGCCTCTTCAAGGACTTCCCATATGTTATTTTTGAGATTTGATAGTTGTATTGTTTAGAAAATTCAGTGTTTCAAAATCTTCATCTCTCTCTCTCTCTCTCTCTCTCTCTCTCTCTCTCTCTTCTCTCTCTCTCTGCTTCTTTGTCTCTGTTTCCCCCTTTCTATATAATAATGTCTCTCAGTTACTCAGCTATATACACATGCAGAAAGTCAGGCAGGCAGGCAGGAAGGCAGACACACACACACACACACAAAACACACACCCACACACACACACACAGAGAGAGAGAGAGAGAGAGAGAGAGAGAGAGAGAGAGAGATTGTCTTTCAGTTTCTTTACATAATCCATTAGTATAGTTGAGTTTGTTTAAAAAGCAAATTTGTCTGCTCCACATGATTGTTTTCAAGGAGACTTATACAGCTTGCACAAAGCAATAAAACCCTGTAAAGAAGTAAAAAAAAAAATCTAAAAAAAATATGTCATTTTCTCATTTTCTGAAGTGAATTATCCCAACTGTTATGAGTACCAGGCATTTGTATTATATTATTTTAATTTTTTTTAACTTTTTGTTTCTTTAGGACTAAGGCAGTCTGGCCTGGCACAGAAGCATCAAGCTGTAAGATCAAGGTGCATGGTCCAGTCAGTTCTAACTCTAAGGAGAAATGAGCACTGAATGCAGGTTTGGGGCTGATTTCCTTTCATTCCAACCATCCATGAAGGAAAAGTGGTGCTGTCCAAATCCAGTTCAGAACTGCTTATGATTTTTTCACATTTGTTTCTTTCTGTCTCCCTTCTTTCCTCTTTCCTTCTGTCTGCTTTTGTCCTTACAGAGATCATATTTATAGTCAAGAGAACTGTGCTGGCATACATGGGAGTGATTTAATTATGTAAAGTAGGAAATGTTCTTAATATTGAGTCTTCTGGGCTTGAAACAATATCATTAATCATGTTCTTGTAAGAGTTACCCCAGATTAAAAAAAAAAAGCCACAATCTCTCCTACTTTTTCCCCACATAAAAGTTAAACCCTGTTTCCACCAACTGTTTCCAGCAGGTAATAACTAAGAACAGTAGAAACCTTTGCATTTTCTTTGTAATGGGCCAATTAGAGAAGGTGTCTCCTTCACATTACAAAGATTTGTCTGAGGGAGCCACTACTTTGTTAAAGCTGTTTTGTGGACATCTTCATAATTAATGGAAAAATCATTAGGAATTCAGTCTTTATTAACCCCTATAGCTGCAGGGGCCCATTTCATCTTAATTGCATTCATTTGGCACTGGCAGTATTATACAGCATAATCACTAATAAATGATCTTTTAATTTGTACCAATCAACGGAGCTTGCTTTCATGCCAATATTCTTGTTTCTTTGATGTTGACCTGTCTTGATTTTTGATCATTTGGGCTTAAGATGATTTACTGGAAAATCAATATCAATACCAGAACTGCTTGTATTCATATGTCTGTGGTTAGGTTCTATTTGAGTGTATTTTGATTGAAATAAGTAGTGCTTGATTACCCATTCAGATGAGGGGGAAAAGCATAATCAAGTTGGGAAATCTGGTACTGTATTCGCATTCAAAGGGAAATAATTAGAAACTGTAGGGAAACTGAAGATTCAGGAGTGCAGGAGTGGTAACACTTCAGATGCCACTAATTAAGCAACTTTGTCCGCCATTTCCTAAAGGCCTTCAGCAATAGCATAATATGCTATTACCCATTAGCAAGGCCAATGGGGGCTTTGGTTACCCTTGTTAATGGGAAACCCCGAGACAGTTTCTCTCATTATCCCCCTGTCAGCACTGTCTCCGCAGTGTAAAGTGGTCGCCATTGTTCCATGGGTCAGCTAACCAGAAACCAAGCTAGTGTAAAGAAACATTCTGCAGCTAATTGAAAAGGACTGAAAAATCCCCCTATCATCCAGTCACCTCTCTTTATTTGTGTAACAATGGAACATATATGGACTTGTGGGGAAAAGGAAAGTTCAGGGAATGACATTGAAGTTTTCCTGACTAATACAACTACAAAGGAGTCTTTGAAGATAATTCCAGGCGAAAAAATATCTACTCAGTGGTTTTCTTTGCCTTTTTTTTTTTTTTTAAGACGATGACAGCAAGGCGTAAGTCCGTGTAGCATATTCCAGTTGGTGTTCTGAAGAGTACTTCTGTGATATCATTCGCTTCACAAGAAGAATTCAAATCTTTTCCTGTGGAAGTGCTGAACTCATTATCCTAATGAGCAAATGTCATGAAGCTGGGAAAGTCACAGGAAAATGAAAGTAGCCATGTGCCATGATCTGGGAAACTTTCTTTGAACTCTTAAATACAGTTTAGTATAAAGTACATCTCATTTGAAGTATATCAAAACCAGGAAATGCAAATTGTCAGAGCTGAAGCAGATCTTTATATAGCAGGGAAAGAAGTTTAAATAAAAAGTGTTGCAATGATCTTTATGTTTAAAAGATTTTGAAGTATATTAAAATATAAATCCCAGAATTAAATGATAGACTAAATGGGGGAATTATAGAAACATTTATTTTAATAGCAAATGATTAATATTTGTGTATATAGAAGATAGTTTTTCTGTTGGTTTGTTTTTGTTGTTGTTAGATTTTAATATGATCTGCAAGATGATGTGCAATGTTCCTCATTGAACTGGGGCATGAGAACTGCACTGTTCTGTTCTGTTCAGTTCAGTATTTTCTTAAAGCACAATTTATTGCCAACTTCTTAGTTTCAGGGAGATTGCCAGGCACTGAATATATAAAACAAATCAGATAAGGCACTTGACCTTGTGAAACTCACAATGTAGTAGAGATGTGAACTTAAAATTATCATTATACTAGACTATAGTTCCAGAAGCAAACACAACACAGCAGACCAAAAGCAGACAAGGGGTCTAAAGAGGGAAAAGAATTAACATAGACAAGCAATGGATGTTGCTCTCATCCCAGGTAGAGAAGCCAGAGATGTAGGGCAATTATGGTCATGAGTTTAGTCCCTTCTATTGTTGAGTTTCCATCAACACTCAGTAGTTGCAAATGTAGTAGAGAAAGTTGGTAGCATTGATTAAAGGAGCCAAGGAAACCATAGAAATTACTACAGTGCTATACAAGGAGTAGTTCAGATGTTCAACATGGGAACAGATGGGGAAGGAAATAAGTCAGACTAAATAAAACAGATTAAGAAGGTATCCGTGATGTTTGAAGGTGTTAATGGCATAGGAAAGGAACTGTGCAGATAGGGATTGCCAATTAGAAAGTCAGATACATTCCAAGGTTCAAGGTGATGGTAATGTAAGCTTGATTTGAAAATTTCAAGGCACTTAGGTCATCCAGACTTCTTGACTTTCATCTAAATTGGTTAGATCCTTTGTGATGTAAATTTCTGGTTCAAAGGCCTTGTTATCTAGAATTCTTGATTGAATAGCTTTTCTGCTTCATTGCCAACAGAGGAAAATAAGGAACAATATATGTAAAACACTATTTTCTAATCTGTTGTCTAGCTTCATGAGATTTCAGTGGTACCTGCTCTCCATTAGTTGCATAAAAGAGAGGACATTGATAAGTAAGTTTTAAGAAAGACCAAGTTTAACAGCATTTGTAGGCATCTATATTTGTGAATTTTAAGATGCCCAAGACAGGATAAATGTTAGTGCACATTGTTCTGCAAAACTTGTTCTATTTATTTGAGAGTTAGTAAAACATTCTGAACTGTTTTAATGAAAAGATACCTTTTGATATGAATGCTGACTGCTAGCATCTATTAGTTTGTATCTCACTAAGGTCCTGTGTTGAATCCCCCAAGGTCATTGTGCTTGCTAAAGCATTTGGGGTGGTCATTAAGTAATAAAGATAAATTTCTTGTGGATGGGATTATTGGAGCACCAAAATGGCCCAGTGGGTAAAGGTGTTCTTTCCACCTGATGATTCATGAAAACATAATGGTCTGATTTCTCTCCCCAAAAGCCACATCAACATGGAAAGGGAGCACTAGTTCCACATAGTTGTCCTCTGATAAACACATGCATCCCAACATGAATGACACATACCTCCATAACCAATAAGAATAAATGCATTTTAAAAATAATAAGGAATAATGTATTTTTGAAAGAGGGGACATTAAATTTTTGTGCCCCTTCTACAAAGTCAGGCACAGGAAAGTGCCACCCATGATCAGGAAACCCTCACCAATCATGAAATTTAGCAGCACTTTGATTTTGAATTTCTCAGCATTCAGAGTTGTCGGACAAATTTTCTGGTAGGCAAATGTTACTCAATCTGTGGAATTTCCAACAGAAAATTCTACTTCAATTATCAAAACAATCTCATTAACATCATTACTATTGCTCATTTTTGTTCATATACTGACGTAATTGAATGTCAGTCATGAGTTCTGCACTGAGTAAGGAAATGTGAGTTGCTTTAGGTACCAGGTACTAGACAATGAAGAATGGAAAAGGCATGGCATGGGCATGTACAACATTTATTAACATGATCACCCTGAGAATACAAGCTTGTTTTGCCGTAATCACTCCAAGTCCATACAAAATTTTTGACCCCATATATTTCCTTTGAATTGTTTTCAGCACTTTCACTATTGCCAAAATGAGTGATATTCATTGCTATTCTAAATTTATTCTTTTAAATTGTGCTCATGCTCTTCTGTTCCTGTCTTCTCAAGACACTGAGCATAGTAGCCTCATGGGGCAGGGAAAATGGGGATTTGGGAGAGAATATTAGGAGAGATAATTAAAACTTAAGGCCCATTTGAGTGGCAGTATGGAAACCTAATACAACAGAAACTTCCTAAAATATATACATGTTTGATTGTAATCTAAATGAAATTAGCAAATAATGGGGGACATAGGAAGTACAGTTTCCATCCTCCCTCTCTTCAAATGGATTCTCAGAGCTTGACTTGAGGCTTGGTTGTGGATCTCTGCATCTGATTCCATCAATTATTGGATGAAGACTCTATGAGAAGGAAGAGGGAATATATGAACAAGGGATATGTTTCACTACCTTTTGTACAGAAAGGTACTATCGCTGCTTCCACAAGAGAAGAGTAAATACAAAGCCATTCACAATTCCTTTATCTACAATGATGTCCTACCTGCAAAGTATGTGAGGGAAATGGTGGCAAAAATCTTGTGGATGTAACCAACCAATATTTGACTTGACTTTAGGAACACTAGACAAAATGGAATCCATACCTGACACTAACTGAGTGACCAAGAACCTGAAACAAGATAGCCCAAGGGCCCATGGTAATACCGAATAGTAGTGGTCCAAAAAATGAGGAAGGGGGAATATAATGATAAAATGACTCCTAATGATATTCTGAAATATGCATAGATCAGTACCTTGTTCAACCATCATCACAGAATATCTACCACCTCATATGGGAACCGATATATAGACAACCTCAACCAGATATTACACACAGTGCAAGACACTTAGGAACACTCAACCCTAAGAGGAATGTATCCATCAAATCCCTCCCTTCTATGTCCACAAAGTCCCACAGAAGAGGAGACATTAAGAAGTGTGAGAACAGAAAAGGATGGAGGATTCCAAGAAAACAAAACCCTCTAAAGCAACATGAGAAAAGCTCAAATGAACTCACAGAGACTGAAGCAACATCCACAGGGGCGGCATGGGGTCTGCAACACATCCTGTGTGTTTTTATTTGGGTTTCCAGTTTAGTGATTTTACTGGATTCCTGAGTGTGTGAACAAGTGCATCTATTATCCTTGTGCCTTCTTTAGGGCTCTTTTCCTTCTATTGAGTTATCTTTTCCAACTTCAATGAGGTAGATTATTTTTAAATCTTCTTATATGTTATAGTGCTGTATTTAGAAATGAATGAATAAATGAATGAATGAACCAGTGAGTAAGTGAGTGAGTGAGTGAGTGAGTGAGTGAGTGGGTGAGTTACTGAACGAGTGAGTAAAAACCTAGCTATTAGAGTAAAGGTTAATGACAGAACTGTCATTTATACTTGATGGGAGAGGGACACCAATTTTCTCCAATGGAGTGACATTGAGTATTTCAATCACTCATGTTCAGGAATAGCTGTCTAATATATAATGAACCAAATGGTGTATTATTTTGTGCTTTTATTTGATTACAGTTTGATGTTATTTTTGTTTTGTGGTGTTTTTATTTTATTTTCTTGGTTTGGGAGGAATTTGCTATTGTTTTTGTTATTTATTTATTTATTTATTTATTTATTTATTTATTTATTCTTGCCAAAAAACTTGAAGTTGGATGGGTAGGGAGTGAGAGAGGATCTGGCAGGACTTCGAGAAGGGAAATAATAAGATCAAAGTATATTTAAATTTCAAGATTATTTCAAATAATAGAAAATGCAATAAAAAGAAAAGAATGCTAACTACTTGAACTAAATCTACTCAGATTCATTTTTTATAAGCTTTAGTTTTCAGTGTCCCAATAGGTCTGCTGACTTCATTTCTTCAACCTTTCCTGATTGTCAAGTTCAGCAATAACCCATCTGCACTTTCTTTCATCCTCCATGATCTCCAAAGAGCACCATCTACTCAGGGTCTCATATTCTGAAGCACACACTCTAATTATCTAGATACATTTGTCTTTGAAATCACTTTCAAAGGTCTGCCCAAAAGTCATTCTGTATTTTTGATATTGTATATTCCTAAACTGTGTTTTGAATGTTCTAATTTTCTTAGTAACAAAATCAAGACTTTGCTATTTTTAAGTTATGCTTTTAAATGTCCCCTTTAAAAGCTTGATTAAAAATTAGGCTGTTAATTGAGATTCATTATTTCCTTAAATTTAATAAGCTCTAATCTAAGAATATTTAAAAAATGGTACTGCTTGTGCAACGAAGTATTTGAATATTAATTCTGCTACTAAAATATATGTTTTGATCACTGTTGTTGAAAAAATCTAACATACCAACGAATCCCACTTTAGCAGAATTTCATAAATGATGATTCATATTCCTTTAGCAAAATCCTATTTGCAATAATTCTTATATTTAAAATAAAATTTCTATAAATGTTAGGACATATGGGGGTTAAAGCATCAGGTCACCTGTTAAGAAAAGTTTATTGCTTTTGATAGAACCCAGATTTCTTTCCCAGCATGCTTATGGTGGCTCATGGCTTCCGATAACTTCAGTTTTAGGAGATCTGATGTCTTCTTCTAACCTCCATGGGCACCAGGTACACACATAGTTCACATGAATACAGGCAGGCAAAATAAATTTATACACAAAATAATTTTAACTAATCAACAAAACTCCTCAGCTCTACAAATCTATGTATATATGATTATAATACCAGACACTTCATGTACTTCGATTGTTAGAATTCTTTTAGAATGTGTGGAATTATTTAGCACCAGTAAACAATAGTAAAAAAACAGTGAAAAAGGAAATATGGTCATCCTTAGAGGGTAAGGTAAGATTTATTTTATAAGTTCATACCTAATAATTTTGACCTGTTATTTTTCATGCAGAATGAATGTTCATTTTCCTTTTTCATATATCTTGCTTATAATAGTTTTTGTTTTGTCACATGTTTCTCAGCAAATATTCAAGTCCACAATGCAGAATTAAATGCATCGAGGACTGCCAATCTTCTTTCAGAATGAAACAGAGTACCACTCCCTGGAAGCAATGCAAAACCACCTCATCTTCCTGGACAGAACTGTTCACTTCATTCCTTATTTGCCCCATACTTGGTCATTGGAAAAATAACCTTTCTAGGACATTTCTCTGAAAAAAAAAAGAAGTGTGATTTGATCTTTCCTTCATGACCTGGGCCATGCCATCCCAATATGAGAAGAAGCAATAAATTGAAGTCAGATACTTATTGGAATGAAACTCCCATTTTAAGAAGAAATTCAGATCTATTTAGCTTGACCTTGGAACTTGAATTAAATCTTTAGACACTCAACTTTCTCCAGGGAAGTGTAAGGTTTAGATGAGTGTATTAAAGCTAGTGTGGTTCTGATCTATGTACCAAGTTAGTTAATTTTTCATTTAAAGGACAAAGGGTTTCACTGGAACTAATTTAACTGACTTAATTTGTGATATTCACATACTAGTTTAGATCCTAAGCCAGGAGAGGACTTTTAAAGAAAAAAACATTAACATGTCATTAAAAAAACATAATATGTTCACTGATGGATGTTTTGACAGTGGCCACAGCTGCCTCTGGCTGGGGACCTCTGACATGGTTCATTTTTGCCCCTGTTGTTAACGAATTGTGTGACCCAGTATGAACATCTTCACCTCATTCTGATGCACTCTCTATTCCCTTTATCATCTTTCTCAGAGCAGTATACTGAGAATTAATGAGTTAATCACCATAAAGTACATAAAAAGACCTTCTAAGAGAGTATGTTAGGAATGTTATGTTATAGAAACAACCACTTTTATCTCAAAGTAAAAAAAAAATACCACTGTTCTAATGGTTATCACATACATTCTAAATGTGTAACTATATCGGCTTGGTTTGTAATCGGTCTGGGATTATACCGGAACTGACTGTATAATTTACTCATGAATCAACAAAACTGAAGTCATCCAGCATTTCCTCAAGAATACTTTTGTCCTTTAACTGTTCAGAGTTTAGCAATTCTCAGAAACTCCGAAGATTAACTTCATTTCTCTTTTACTGACACTTTCTATTCAATAATTGCTCTTAATTTCATAAGGTTTTCTTTTGGGGGGATTTCAGGGCAGGGTTTTTCTGTGGCTTTGGAGACTGTCCTGGAACTAGCTCTTGTAGACCAGGCTGGTCTGTAACTCATAGAGATCTGCCTGCCTCTGCCACCTGAGTGCTGGGATTAAAGGCATCCGCCACCACCACCCAGCAAATTTCGTTTTTTTAATTAAATTTTTGTAATTATTGCCCCTCCTTTAAGCTTATGTTTTTCTTTTCTTTTCTTTTTTTGTATATGATGGAATATGTAACTGTTTTGTTTTCTTTCATAGTACTAACAAGCAGATCACTGGAACATTCAATAAATTATGCTTGTCAGTTAAATACAAATAAGAAGAGAGATTAAATTAACCAGTGTATCCTTTCAGTTTTCCCACAGACCCCTAATTCTCTCTTTAAAAACAAAAACAACTGTGCATTGTATCAGACAGAAAAACAAATAGCCTTTGTCCTATTGATACTTATAGATTCGTAATTATTATTTAGTTAAACTATGTTGATTCTTAGGACTATAAGTTTTAATATTTTAAATAATTTCAGATTTTGAAATGAATATCTATAGATGAAATGAACAAATTGGTGATGAGACCAAAGTCTGAATTAAAATTCACTTATGTTTTAAGTTTCATATATACCTCATACACAAATCTATTTCTAATATTCTACATGAATTTTATATGAACATTTCTACATATTAACTCTAACCCATCACATAAAATCAAATGTATATTTTCTACCTGTGCCTTAATGTTTGCATTAAAATTTTTGAAAGTTTTAAGCAGTTTGGATTTCAAATTTTTAAATTATATATGCTCAACCTATAGGTATAATGTTGATAAAGTCAATAGACAAAAATGAATTATAATTACATTACCAGTTAAGGCTATACTGATGACTTTCAGCATAGATTTGTGGCCTTGAGAATAAAGTATATACATACAGCAGTAAAAGGATCTTTTAAGAGGACACAGCTAGGTCTAGGACAAAATATGAAAAAAAGACAATACTTTGGTTTTCAAAGTTGGAGATAGCACCCTCTACCCATCCATGAAGGAAATGCTTAGTACTGTAAGTATCTGTAAAACAAACTGCCAACAAGCCTTTCAAAAGAAGAATTTTTGTATGTTGAACCATCCCTGCTTTTTGGGGATGAAACCTATTTGATCGTGTTGGATGATTTTTCTGATGTGTTCTTGGATTAGATGTTCCAGTATTTTGTTGAGTACTTTTGCATCAATGTTCGTGAGGGGTGTCTCAAGGCTAACAGTTTCAAGTGTATGGTTTTCTCTTTCACAAATCATTTTTCTTCAAATCTCAGCTTGTTTGAGCCCTTTGGATGGCTGAGGGGCCAAGGTAAGTTCTTGCAGTCCTTGTGAGACAAGGCATCTTTTGCCCTATGAATTTGGGTGCTTTGTTATGGAACACACACTTGTCACAGCTTTGCTGTGATTTATTCTTCTTAACCTTGCAAATGTAATTTTTATAAACATGCTTTCCATTTATCTCAGTCATTTTTGAAGAAGAGATTGTGGACACCTCCCCACCCACTTCCTTTTTATTTGTCATCATCCTTTTCGTCTTGTTTTAGATTTTTTTGAATTAATTTATTTTCTATCCATATAAAGTGTGTCTGTTAGATATATGTCTTGTATACTGCATAAACCTGATTTATGTTATGCTGTTCAGTATAACTACCTTTGTAGAGGTAGATGTGGGTCATTAATATTTCACCATAACACATGACCTGCCTTAGTTTAATATTTTGTGAAGTGAATATTGTTGTTGGCTTTGTAAATCTCCCTCAATTCCCCTGTCAGTTTGAGTTTGTAAAAAGGTTTTTATTTGTGAACCAATTACATTATATATTAACACGTTGAAAACTGTAAATGAAATTCACATGTTCAATACTGTTTTATTTTAATTGTTGGATGCCTAACAAAATGACTGAAACATCTTCACTAATTTTACTATTTTTAGTATGTACACCCATATTTGCATCTTTCTCTGACAACCATAAAAAAGTTGAATGTACTTTTGTTTTGTTCTGTATATTCACTCTTGACAGTCTCCTAGTACAAGTTAGTTGTATTATTATTTTAAAGTTTCAAGATTTCCACTTACCTCCAACCCATAAATTCTAATAGCTGTTTCATACCACATGTTTCCTCATTTCCAGGTTGTGTATTTTGATTTATGGCTAGATATTATCATCTAATAGTTCTTTTCAAAAGGCCTCTGGGTTCCTTTGCTCTTGAATTCTGCAGGTTGTGGAATATTTTCTCTATGGTTTTCAGGCATCTGTTACAATTCAAAAGCCATAAAATTCTTGAATCAATCAAAACTTTTTTCTTTCTGTATTCTATAAACATTTATCATTGCTTTTGAAAAATTAAGGTGTGTGTGAACATTTTCAGTTTGCGGCTCTTATGGGTTAACATTTTGGGTCACTTTCTCATAGAAATTTTACCCCTAGGACTACAATTACAGTTACTTAACTATATATGTATCATATGAGAGCCCCCAACAAAAAATAAACCTCAGAAGGTGAATGAATATATACAGACATAACTTTGCTTATACCAAATGTGTGCTACATCTTCAGAAATCTCATATAATAAAGGGATGTTTCCATATATATTTTCTTTTATCTAGAAACTTTCTTCTATCACAATTTTTACTGTTATTTCTGTTCCATTGGCACCTTATACTTATGAATATGCAAATTTATAAATAGAAAATATATGAATAGACACTCACACACACTATGATCTTTGATTCTTTCTCCTCCTTGGTCTTTCGGTCTTTTACTGTCTATATTATAAGTTTTATATTCCACATTTGAACTGCATGATACTGACTTCTTACATTCCATCTATTCTGTTATTTTAAGACTCACTTTTCAGACATGATTTGTGAAATGGATTTATTGTTTGACTCCATTTCTCTTCTGAGCTCTGTCAGTTTGTGTTTAGAAGTCTAGTATGTTATTGCTTCTTTCTGCTGTTGTGTGTATTTTTAAAATTTATTTACTTATTTTACATCCTGACCAAAATTTTCCTCTCCTTTGTGTCCTCCCAGCTTCCCCATCTATACCCTCATCATCAGAAAATGGCAGATCTCACATTGACATCAATAAAACAATATGACATATACTGTAGAAGTAAGACTTGTATTAAGGCTAGGCGAAGGGATCCAGTATGAGCACCAGGGACCCAAAAGCCAGAAAAAGAGTCAAAGACAGACCTGCACTGTTAGGAATCCCACAAGAAGATCAAGCAACAGAACTGTATCATATATGCAGAGGGCCTAGGTCAGTCGATGCTGGTTTCTTGGTTGTTGGTTCAGACTCTGTGAGCTCCTATAAGCCATATCAATTGATTTCGTGGTTTTTCTTGTGATGTTCTGACCTCTCTGACTTCTAAAGTCCTTCCTCCTCTCTTCTACAGGATTCACCAAACTCCACCTCGTGTTTGACTGTAGGTTTTTAGCTGTTTACATCAGTTGCTGGATGAAGTCTCTCTGATGGTAACTGAGCCAGGCAATAATCTGAGTACATCAGAATATCCTTAGGCATCATTACTCTGACATTTTTCTCTCTAGTCCTGTTTAGTCCTACCCTAGGTTTCTACATCACCCCAAAATTCAGCCCCTTTCCAGTTGTCTCTTTCAGCACTCTTCCCCTCCATCACCCCACCTGATCCCTCATGATCACATTCCCACCCACCCTCACTCCACCCATGAAATCTCTTCCATTTCCCTAGTCAAATGACCCCCTGGGGTCCTTCTTGTTACCTAGTCTCTCTGGGTCTGTGCATTTTATCATGGTTTTCCTTTACTTTACAGCTAATATTCATACATAAGTAAGTACTTTATGGGTTTGGGTTACCTCACTCAGGATTGAATTTTTCTAATTCCATTTATTTGCCCTTCATGTTTCATGATGTCATTATTCTTAACAGCTGAGTAATACTCCATTATGAAAATGTAAAACCTTCTTTTTATCCACTTTTCAGTTGAGGGGTATCTCAGTTATTTCTAGATTCTGGTTATTGTGACTAAAGTTGTTGGAACATTGTTTAAGCATCCTTCAGGTGCTCATACCCAAGAGTGGCATAGCTGAATCTTAGGGTATATTGATTCCCAGTTTCCTCAGAAACCACCATATTGATTTCCAAAGTGGCTGTACATAAAAGTGTAATGTGAGATTTTTGTCTTCCAGGTCCTGCTGCCTTTGAGCCCACAAATGAACACACAGAGACTTATATTAATTATTAAATTGTTGGTGGGTGGCTTGGGCTTCTTATTGTCTAGCTCTGCCTTAATTATTAACCCATTTCTATCAAGGTATGTATTGCCATGAGGCTGTAGGTTACCCGATAATACCCAGCATGGTGCTACTCCTCTGGCAGCATAATCACTCTGTGTGGGGCTCACTTTGCCTTCCTTTCCCAGAATTCTCCTTGTCTCCTAGACCTGCCTATCTTCCTGCCTCATTGGCCGAACAGTGTTTTATTCATTAGCCAATAAGAGAAATGTATATACAGGAGGACAAACCCCATCATATAAGTTTGCACTCCCAGTAGCAATGGAAGGGGGTTTGACTTGCACTATATCCTGTCCACAAAAGCTTTCACTTGTGTTTTTGATCTTCGCCATTTTGACAGGTGTTAGATGAAATCTCAGAGTCATTTTGATGTGCATTTCCCTGATGTCTAAGGATGTTGAACATTTCTTTAAATGTTTGTTTCCTATCCATTGGAGATTCTTCTGTTGAGAATTCTGTTTAGATCTGTATCCCATTTTTAAATTGGATTGTTTGGGATTTGATTTCTAGTATCCCGAGTTCTTTATGTATTTTGAAAATCAGCCCTCTGTTAGTTGTGGGTTTGGTGATGATCTTTTCCCATTTTGGATGCTGCTGTTTTGTACTATTTACAGTGTCCTTTGCCTTTGCCTTTCCTTACAGTAGCTTTTCATTTTCACGAGGATATATTAATTGTTGATCATTGTGCCTGCACTGTCTGTGTTCTGTTTAGGAAGTTGTCTCCAGTGCCAATACATTTAGGCTATTTCCAACTTTCTCTTCTATCAGGTTCAGTGTATATGGATTTATGTTCAAACTTTGGTCCGCTTGAACTTGAGTTTTGTTCAGGGTGATGGATTCTATACTGTGTGTGTATTTTCACTGGATTCTACAAAGTCTTTAATTTCTTTCTTTCTTGACATGGGGGCAATTTAGTAGACAGTTGTTCAGTTTCCTTGAGTTTGTAGGCTTTCTGTTGTTTTTGTCATTCCTAAAATGCAGGTTTAACATATGATGGTTTGATAGGATGCAGGGGTTATTTCAATTTTCCTATATATGTTGAGACTTTCTTTGTGATTGGGTATGTGGTTAATTGTTGAGAATGTTCCATGATGTGTCGAGAGGAAAGTGTATCTTTTGGTGAAATATTATGTGAATATATGTTAGGTCCATTTGGTTCATAACATCTTTTGGCTCCAGTATTTCTCTGTTTAATTTTTGTTCGGATAATTTGTTCATTGATAAAGGTGGGGATTAAAGTCTCCCACTATCAATGTGTGAGTGTCCACATGTGATTTAAGCTTTAGTAGTGTTTCTTTTACAAGCATGGGTGCCCTTGTGTTTGGGGTGTAGATTTTGAGAATTGAGGTGTTATGTTGGTCAATTTTTCCTTTCATGTGTATGAAATGTCCTTTCCCATCTCTTCCAATTAATTTTGGTTTGAAGTTTATTATTTTAGGTATTAGATTAACTATACCAGTCTGCCTCTTGGAGCCATTTCTTTTGATTATTTCTGTTTCCAATACTTAACTCTGAGATAATATCTCTCTTTGATGTTGAGGTGTGTTTCTTGTATGCAGAAGAAGGATGGATCTTGTTTTCATATTCATTCTTTTAGTTTATGTCTTTTTGTTGAGGAGTTAATTCCATTGACATTGACAGATATCATAATCTTTGTTAATTTTTGTTATTTTGTTGTAGTTGTTGATGCTAGTAGTGCATCTCTCTCTCTGTGTGTGTGTGTGTGTGTGTGTGTGTGTGTGTGTGTGTACATCTCTGTGTGTGTGTGTGTGTGTGTGTGTGTGTGTGTGTGTGTGTGTGTGTTTCTTTTGTACATGGTAAAGATTATTTATTTCCTGTGCTTTCATGAGTGTAGTTAACCTCCTTGTGATAGAATTTTCTTTCAGTACCTTAAACTGGATTTTTAGATAGATATTGTTTAACTTGACTTTATCATGGAATATCTTGTTTTCTCCATTTACTGTGTTTGAAAGTTTGCTTGTTATACTGGGCTGGGCTGGCTGTTGTTTCTTAGAGTCTGTGGCACATCTGCCAGGCTCTTCTGTCTTTTAGAGTACCCATTGAGAAGTCAGGTATAATTCTAATAGGTCTGCCTATATATGTTATTTGGCTGTTTTCTCTTGTATATTTCAGTATTCATTTTTTGTTTGGTGTATTTAGTGTTTTAGTATATGACTGTGTCTTTCTTTTCTGGCCCAATATATTTGATGTTCTGTAAGCCTCTTGTACCTTTATTGGTATGTCCTTCTTTAGGTTAGGACATTTTTCTTCTACGATTTTGTTCAAAGTATTTTCAGTGATTTTGAGCTTAGAATTTCCTCCTTCTTCAGTTCCTATTATTCTGACATTTGGCCTTTTCACAGTGTCCCAGACTTTGTGTCAAGAATTTTTTAGAGTTAACAAATTTTGTTTGACTGATGTATGTATATCTTTTATCATGTGTTCAATGTCTGAGTGCCTGAGATTCTTTCTTCTATTGATGGGGGATGTCCTGTTTATATGTTTGTCTTATTGGTTGATAAATAAAGCACTGTTGGCCAATAGGGAAGCAAGATAAGTGGGACTAGGAGAGAAGGAGAATTCCTGGAAATGTAGGAAAAAGAGAGAGTCACCATTTGATCCCATGAAGAGAGGACACATGTCGCTGGTGTCCTTGATAAGGTAAGTCTTTATAAAAATATAGATTAGTAGTTATGGTTGATAATTAAAACTGAGATAGCATATAAGAAATCCTAGTCATTGGCCAGCAACACTGTAACTAATGTTAATCTCGGTGTGTTATTTGGGGGCCCTAACATGACAGAGGAACTCAGGCAGCTGGTGGAAATAGTTTTTGTTATATTCTATCTCTTGTATTCTTTTGGTGGTGCTCATCTTTGTAGTTCCTGTTTACTTACCTAGATTGTTTATTTCAAGAATTCCTTCAGTTTTTGTTTCCTTTATTACTTCTTTTACCATTTTCAGGTCTTGAATAGTTTTATTTGTTTCCAACAATTGTTTGTTTGTTTGTTTTTCTTGGTGTTCTTGACATCTTTAAATGATTTAATTAATTTACTCCAATTTTTATTGTCATTTCCTCAATACCTTTAGTGGATTTATTAACTTTGCCTTTTAGGATCTATATCATTATCATAAAATTCCTTTTAAGGCAATTTTCTTGGGCTTCAGCTGTGTTGGAATATCCAGGGCTTCCTGTGTAGTGTGGCTGGTCTCTGGTTATTGACATATTGCCCTAGCTGTTATTGTTTGTATTTATACACTTATGTGTAACCATCTGGATTTGGAGTGATTATAGGTCTAGGTGCTAATTTCTGGATTTGTTTTTGTTAGATGGGTGTTATCTCCTTTAGTTTCTTTTTCCTCTTTGGTCTTCTTGTTGCTATGGCCTATTGTTGAGTATACTGTCAGGGCTAGACTTCTGATATCCTGGATCATAATGCAGGGGATGCTGTAAATGTTTGTGACTAGTATTCTGGCTGCATATGGCCTCTGATCTGGTCAGGGTGTCCTGTGGTTCAGTATCTTTGCCTGGATTCTGGTGGGATAAGAGGCTTGTGCCTAGTTTTCAGGTAGTTGGCCTGGTCTCTGGGGTTCATGATTCTGCTCTGGCCTCTGGAGTCCTGGATGCTGGCCAGACTCTAGCAGAGTAGGAGGGTTCTGTCAGAGATGTGGGTTTGGATATGGTCTCAAGGAGAGGAATGATGGTTAGGGATAGGTTGGGGAGCCACAGTTGGGAATGCTGGGTATACTTAGGGTTCAGGATGTTTGCCTGGCCACTGATGGAGTAGGAGAATTCTGCCAAAGTAGGAGCACATATAAGGTTATAAGGAGAAGAGGGCTACTTGGGGCTAGAATATTCCTGGTGATTTACCTGATTTTTCAGGGAGCTGGCCTGGCCTCTTATGGGGTAGAAGGCTTCTGCCAGAGGTGTAGACTAAAATATGGTGATAGGAAGAGAAGGAGGAGTTGGAGGTATGCTGAACAAGTGTGGGCAGTGTGTGTGGGGAATCTTACTTGGGGTTCAGCAAGCTTACCTAGTTGTGGTGTGTATTTTAACTTTCAGTAGAAACTCTTCCTGTTCATTTTGTTATGGGGTATATGTCTGTGTGGGTTGCTGTAAGTGGTCACACACCCCTATGTCGATGTCAGAGGAATACATTGACTCCCCCCACATCTCATTCCAGATGGGGTCTTTCACTAAACCTGAATCTTCCAGGTTTTGGGTAGGCTGACCAAAGAGTGAACCTCTAGATCTATCTGTTTTTGGCACTCCACCACTGAGCTTAAAGACACACTTAGCAGGCCTGGCTTAAAGAGGTACTAAGAATTCCAATTTAGGCCCTTATGCTTTCCCCATAAGAACTCTTACACACAAAGTAGTCTCTCTAGCATCATGGCCTATTCTTCAATTTAATGGAATAAGGAGATATAATGTTCTGCAATTTACAATTGACTATTTTTATTAAAATTTATTATTAAGAAATTACAAAACGAAACACTCCTCCACTGCTGGTGGGCATGTAAACTTTTTAGACCACTTTGGAAATCAGTATGGAGGTTTCTCAGGAAAATGGGAAACTGTCTACCTCAAGATCCAGCAATTCCTCTTTTGGGCATATACCCAAAAGAATAGACATTCATACAACAAGGACTTATGTTCAACTATGTTCAGAGCAGTGTTGTTTGTAACAGCCAGAACCTGGAAGCAACCTAGATGCCCCTTGACTGAAGAATGGATAGAGAATGGAATCTTGAAATTCATAGGCAAATGGATAGAAATAGAAGAAACCATCCTGAGTGAGGTAACCCAGTCACAAAAAGGCAAACATCATATGTACTCACTCATATATGAAATTTAGACATAGAACAAAGGATTTCCAGCCTACAATCCTCATCACCAAAAGAACTAGGAAACAAGGACTCTAAAAGAAGAATGCAGAGTCCCTGGAAAAAGGGAAGGGGCAGAATCTCCTGAGCTAGTTGGGAGCATGAGGATTGGGGAGAGGGAGCTGGGAGAATGAGAGGAGGAGAAGAGGAGGGGAGAGGAGGAAATGGAGGAGAAGGAAGGTTGAGTAGGGCAAGAATAGAGGAGATCAGGATGAGAGATACCATAACAGAGGGAGCCATTATAGGTTCGAGGAGAGATCTGGTACTAGGGAGATCTCCAGAGATCTACAAGGATGATA